GGACATTTCAGTTGGAACGAAGTGAACAGTTGAACAAAAGATGCCGCTGAAAATGTGTCACCTGAAAAAGCCACTGTCGAAGAAGAAACTCTACTCGGTTTTTGAGAAGGGAAATAGTGAAGCCCTTCATGAAGTTACTACCACTGATGTGACTGCTACCGCTAATGGAACATTTCCTGATAAAGCAGATGAATACCACGTGAAGCAGAAGCCAATGAGACGGAGACCAGTACAAAAGAAGAAACGTCCTATAAAATTAAGAGACTTTGTTGTATTTTAATTTTGTGTTTGTAAATTGTGTACATTTAATTAAGTTATTGCTAATTATTTAGTGGTTTAATGTAAGTGGCTATTGTTCGAGACGAACAATACTAAGGAAAGGGCAGTGTTACGACAGTGGAAGTCACGTGACGCTAGTAACACGTCATGATATTCTAGAATGATCATGCCTGTTCGTGGCAACTCTGGTCTTTTCTACGCGCCCTCTATTCTTGTATATAAGTGCGCCAGATAAAGCGAAATTAATTAATCGGAATTGAATACCGGACAGAGAGAGATTGAAGATATAGACGGACAATTGAGTCAAGCGCAGTAGTATGTAGAGTGCGTGAATCGTTCGTTGAGAATTATAGCGTGTGTTTAAGTGACTGTGGAAATTAAAGGTATTGCAAAGTTGTATTGAGAAAGAATAAACTAGTTTTATTTAAGAAAGGACTTGTATCGCTGAAGTTTCTCGGGAAGAATTTCTACCGTAAATTATCAAACGACTAGAGACGTAACAATACTTTTCAGCAGTTTCACGCAGTTAAGAATAATTTATACTTTTAATGTTAGAATTTCTTTCAAAAGTAATACCATTTTGTAGATTTCGATTTTATCGTTAATTTATAGAAAAACTAATTTTTTCAAACTGCTTATTAACCTGATGTGCCCAGTAACTTCAAATTTCAGTTAGATTTAACAAAAAATATTATGTAATATAGTGTGAAATACACATTATGTTATAATATGTAACATACATTAAAATAATGTGGTAGTTTTCAGTCATAGATATGATTAATACGTGCTCATTAACCTTTTACCTGGTATTTTCGTAGCAATATGTACTGGTATCGTTATATTTTTATTTCTTATAGAGTCAACAGGTTGCCTTAGCGCCACACTGTGAGCATTCAAAGCTGCGTGACAGGTATTACTGGAACACCTCGTTGATTTTCCGAGTTTATTCTACGTACACTTCTTAATGTTGCTCAAATTACGAGGTATAGCAATAATGTGGACCGTTTGTTAACATATTGGTTCGTACTTTCAGATTTAAGTTTATGATATTTACATCATAAACTGTACGAACTTTGGAAAGATAAAGATAGAACAGCCATCGTCATGGATGAAGTGATAGTTTTGCTACTTCTCTCTGTAACCATGTTCATGGGATGTTACATGGCAGGAGTTATTCCACTTGTTGTTACATTATCAGGGGTAGGTTTATTTTTAATTCTTCTAAAATGTAGTCAGTTTGATACTATTGCTACAGTGCTAGGATTTCTATTATTAGTATTAATATTATTGGGCAGTAATACCAAAACCTTAGCTGCTTGAAGTTGAAAGTTGAAGCTTACTCAAGTTACTGTTTTGAAAGCAACAACATTTCGGAAGTATATTTACAGATTTAGTTATTTACTATAATGCATATTGATACTTATAAGTTATAGTAATACATTGTAGTAGGAAGGTGCTGGGGGATGTAGCATGAAAATCATGCCCAGGTGTCTCTTATAAGCTATATTTACATTGATTATATATATATGTCAACAGTGGGAATGCTAACATATTGGTTCTTACTTTCACTTCACAGAGAAGATTTAGTTTTATGAAATTTGTTGTTAAGACTTTCTCAGTTTCTGCATTTTGGAAAAATTAAGATAGCCATTGTTATGCATGAAGTGATGGTTTTTCATGTCATGTTTTCTTCATAAGCATGTTAATGGAATGTTACTTTTTATGTTATCAGTGGTAGGTAGTTATGTTTCTTAATTTTCATAAAGCATAGGTAATTTTTATGTTACAAAAAAATTGGGCCTTGACTAAAAATGCACCAATCTTGACTGATCATATCATTTATAAATCATGAAATGACAAACATTTATATATAAAAACAAAATGAATTTTTCACTACACTACAGTTTGTTACTATTGTTAAACTGTTAGTACTATTATTATTGAGTAGTAATACAAAACTTGTTTATAGCTTAGTTTTAAAAGCGAAAAATGTTCAAATATACAGTTATTATATATATATATATATATATATATATATTAATGATACATAGTTAGCTATAACTGATGTAGAAAGGTGGTGGGAAGAATAGCTTGAAATTTGTGCTGTGTTGTACAATTATCATATATGTTGACATTGGACATGAAGACCAAAGCACAAAAATCTTGAGATTTAAACAAGTATTACACAAACTTATGTTCACGGGGAAAGAAAATTCACTGTTCCTTATTTGTCTTTTACTGTAGTATAAAACCAGACTAATTTTAGTTGTATAATTTACTTTACAAAACCTGTTTTTAAATGTGTTTTTTTTTATTTTGTTTCTTCTAATAATGAATGCAATATAAAATGCTAATTCTAACTTTTCTGTCATTGCTCAGTATACATCTTTAGCTTAATGGCAGCATTATTTAAACACAAAAATGCATCATATACATCTGTTAAACTGATCTTTTAATAAATATTTTGGAGAAGGCATTTGTATGCAAAAACTTGCATATTTCCATATACTTGTGAATTTAGTTTCAGTGTCTTTCTTCTACTATGTGGAGTAGCTTATATACATACTGACTATTTGATAAAGACAAAACGTTTATTGTGCAGTTAAAATTTTAGTTTCATTAACTTATTTATGAGAGTGCTGTTTGTGATAATAGCATGATTCTTGTATGTCTTTATTTTGTTTATTAAAATTTTAAGGTTTTTTAATTTTTGGATAATTAGTAGTAGGGTTTTTCATTGTCAGTGAAACTGTTCATACCTTCTAGCCCGCATATGCATAGAAATGATGTATCTAGTTTTGTTAAAAGGCAGGAAATTTTGAGCACAGTAGTCAACACGATCAAACAGGTTATGAGATGTTACTTTAAAACCTGAAAATTTCTAAATAATTATTAGGATAATGGAGAACATTTGAGAAGTTACATGGAGAATTGCAACAAGAAAAGTAAAACACTGAATTTTTTAGATTACTAATTTGTGTACATATTTATGGTCATAAATAGCTTATATATGTGTGTGTATACTTTATTGTATTCCTTTTAATACTTTTGCAGTGGCCTACTTTTTTATGCATTCGTTATAAAGCAGTGGCAACGTTTTTGGTTCAGTGATGGGTTTTCCCTGTATAATGTGTATTTTAACTGCCTGATTTCTGTGCTTCATTCTAAATGTTCATACCTGCTCTTAATTTTTTAGAATCTATGAATGTATTCAGTTTTTAGTTGCCCTCGTCTGTACTTTTAAAGAAACTTTTCAAGAGCATTGTTTTAATGTAAATTTTAGGATAAACTGCAGTTAGTTACAGTGCTTGGTGCAGGAATGTTAGTTGGAACAGCATTATCAGTGATTATTCCAGAAGGTGTCAACATGCTTTACTCGTCACATTTAGGTAAGTTTTATTTTCATATGGTTTTGGATATGGAGCATCCTTCACATAATTTTTGAAATTTCTATTTAATTGTTTATAAAAATACTTTATGAATGGTACTTTCAAATATAATTACTTTGCTAATAATAATTTTTTAACATGGTAACAAACATTAACTTTTCTCTCTAAATCTCAGAAATTTTGCAAAATAGCTCAAAATAGATAATTTTTTAAGTAATGACTATTTTGCATTGTTTTTGCACACCTGTAATTACCTATTTTTTTAATTATTAAACAGTCTTGTAAGAATAGAAAAATGCATTACTTTAGGACAAAATATTGAATTTTTTATTGGATAGTTTTTTTTCAAGTAAACATTTCTTAATAAGTACATGTAATTACACATATATAAAGTTATTCTGTTTTAAGAGCTTTGAAAAGGTCACATTTCTGCTATAGATGTATTGATTTTTGTTTCTTACTATTAGCACTAATACGTAATCAGCTGCTAAGGGAACAGCAAATTACAACTGACAAGGCTCAACTTTCAAGCAGTCTTGAGAAAGAACATTCACTCCATATTCTAACAGATATTGGGGAGACTCATTCTGTCATTGGTGTTACTCTGGTTTTAGGTTTTATATTTATGCTTTTAATAGATCAGATTGGCTCAGCATACACAAGAATTTCAAATTCAGGTGAGTATTTTACTGTTTTAATTTAGGAAGCTGCAATGTGCTTTGTAAAAAAAAAGCTTCTGCATTGATGCATTATAGAAAGTAACACTATATTATATATCATTAGGAAGAGCCAAATTGGCTTAATGTGAATTAAGTAAACATCCGTACTTTTGTTAAGGGACAACAAAGGGCATTGTTGCCATACCATTCATTTCAACATTCATCTTCCTGTATCCAGGACTGATTCTATAAGAACTTGTCAAGCCCTCTTTTAAACTGTCTCAATCCTGTTGTGCCTACCACATCTGAAGGCAGTCTATTTTAAAGGCTGACCACGCTGTTTGAAAAACAAAACTGCATAATTGAGATGACTTCTACCTTCCCAGTTCTTTAATATGTCCTCTAGTCCTACCAGTAAACAGAAAAAAGGTGATATATCGATTCTGTCTATTCCATTTATAATTGTGACACTTCCTACAGCTCCCCTCTATCCCTTCTTTTGTTAAGAGAAAATAATCTGAATGATCTTAACCTGTCATCATATGATAGTTCCTCCATCCCAGGAATCATCCTTGTAGCCATTCTTTGAACCTTTTTCTTGAAGTAAGAAGCCCTGACTGAACACAGTATTCCAAATGAGGCCTAACCAGAGTTCTGTACAAAGAAATGGCAACTTCATTTGACTGTATTCAATATTTATGAAGATACATCCCAAAATCCCATTTGCTTTCTCATTAGCAACAATATACTAACTAGAAGTATTAAAAGATTGATCAACTAAAACACCAAGGCTCTTTTCTTTTACAATGCCAGTGCAATGTTTCCCAAACTGTGGTTCTCCAGAACCCTGGGGTCCCATATGATATATCCAGGGTTCCACGAGAAAAGTTTTAGTGTAGTTGGTCTAAAGGCCAGGTATATATATATATGGCTTAAACGTTCATCAGCCCATAAATGGTACCATTCTTTATTCCCTTTTTCATTGGCTATTTCATTTATGGATGAAGCTTTATTGATGACTCATTGTAAGTTAGTTGCTAGTGATAGTTCAGTGCAGTGTTTCAAGGAAACAACAAGCTAGTCTTGAGTTTTTGAATATTTCGTAACATTAAAAAATTAGTTATTTCAAATATTGATACTACTTAGCCATGGATCAGTAACTAAAAGAAGGAACTATAAAGTGAAAAACAAGTTCTTCTGATAGTAAATTTTTATGATTTAACTTTTTAACATAAGAATGTTTCTTAAGGGTTCTACCAATAGTTTTAGAGCTCAAAAGTGTTCTGCAGCTGAAAATGTTTGGAAAATGTTGCACTAGTGAATTGATTTACATCAAGAGGAATAATTATAGTTTAAATTAAGCTAACCCATATGCACTACCTTGCATGTAGATAATTAAATGACCATTTATTTGTCAAATTCACCAAAATTATTCAAACCCCGTTGTAGAACAACAGCATACTCCTCACAGCTAATTACACCAAAATGATAGTACCATCAGCACACTTGACCATTTTGTTGGCCATTCCCTTAATACCATTAATGTATACCAAAAACAGTAATGATTTCATTACAGAGTCTTGAGGTACCCCACTTGCAACTCCAATTCAGTTTTGCTGAACTCTGTTTATTAGTTCAATTAGCTAACTTTTCTTCCATACTTATAGATAGAGCTGGACAGTTGATAGCAATTGATAATTAATTGTCAGGCTTGTTAATCAATTACATTCAACTAATCAATTATTCTTACATGATATGTAGATGGAATAATCAAAATAGTAATATTGATTAGTTGGTTATTTTTGTTGCTTGTCCCAGTAATCGATTAAGCTGAATAACTGAATTAATTGAGAATAACAATGAGAAATCATACTGATGATATTTCGATTATTTGGATAGTTTAAATCAGTGTTTCCCAAACAATGGGCCTTGACATTTCTACCGGTCTGCAACGTGTCTTGGCTGTTGAAAGCACTGACACTTACTTATGATCCTTTCAATATTTGTTGACTAAAAGTCGCTTAATTCTACCTTTTCTTTTTTGTTTTTGAAATAAATTGTTTTTTTTTTGGAAATATTGTAGTATTTTACTTATGTAACTAATATTTTATTTGGAATGTTGGTCCCCAAAAATGTTTTTTAAACTCTACTGGTCTGTGACTACCAAACGTCTGGGAACCACTGTTTAAATGATCAAAAACTAATAATTGAAAAGCATACTATCAAAAGTAAATTTAATGAAAAATAATGACATTTGACATGATAAATAGTATGAGCAGTATTGTTAATAAAAGTAATTTATTGATTTAATTGTAATTTTGATGAATTGGGTATTTTGTGAGATTCTAATTGATATAATTCTTGCTCATAGGTAATTGATTATGTCGATTAGCCAAGTTTATCACCAAGTTCTATCCACAGATATAATTTATGTGGCACTTTGTTGAAAACCTTCTGAATATCCAGATATACTTAATTCACACATTTACCCTCATCAACATAGGCAGTGACATATTTGAAAAAAGTTTGAAAGAGTTGTGAGAAGATTTTCACATTGTGAAACAATGTTGGCTATTCAACAAAATTGTAGGAATACTAAATGCAAATATTTTAGAAATTGTTTTGATGTCCTCCCAAAATAAGAATTACTCAGTCAAATTCTCCCTTTCTCCCAATAACTAGGGCCTTATGATTAAAGGTCAATTAGTCTTACTTTTGTGGTGGCAAAAGTTTTAGAAAGGCTAATTAAAGATGTTTTGTAAATCCACCAAATAAGCTACTGTACTGATCTAATAACTGTCGTATCATTGTGATCCCAACAACTTTCACGAATTGGCGTAATAACTTATGATTCTTATGGTAGCATGGTTAGCAAAAAACCATTGTAAATTGAACAAGTTGTCAGAAGTCTTGATATTGGAGATAGTTTTGAGCATTCTTATATTCTGTTCAATCTCACCTTGTGTTCTGGCAGGAAAAGTGGTCAGAAATGTCTATGTGATCCTGAAACTTCAAATTCCCTTCAGAACACAGGAGGTCAGGAAATTGTTTAGCTTAAAGTGATCTTGGGATTATTTAAATTAGGCAGGCATTTGTTTAAACAACTGACCCATTTTCATTTAGTCATATTTTCTTAATTTGTGATATAGATAAAGTTAGCACCCCCTCTTAAAGTTCTTGACAAGTTAGCAACTATGCAATTCTTGTGTTTGTTCTCCCTTAAAAGTAGGTGTAATATTTAGCCAGCTTTCAGTCTTCTGGCATCTAACAGTTTAGACTTTACTAATATCACATGTCTGTGGTACATTCTTTTGTTTCTCTTTTCATGTTCTATTCAATGTGAAAGTCTATTTGTTCATATGATTTGTATAAAAGTTGTGTTTTTTTAAATAGTAGTGAGTAAATGCATGTAGTTCTTACTGTTGTAGGAAAAGCACGTGAACATAGCAACTGGTAATAAACTAATAAACAGTCAATTCAATCTTATATTCACATTATTTAAATAAAAATATTAATACAACTGTTTACCTTTAAACTTGTCTTAAAACCTTTTGTAGTTTATAATTGATATTCAAATCATCATCTAAATTGTTGAAAGAATTATAGCTTGAGAGAGGAGTAATTTTTGACTGAAAACAATTTTCAACTGAATATCTAAAGCATATACTCATTGCAAATAAATTTGGGATTATGCACTGCTTGTTTTGTGTATTCAAAATTTAAACATTTTTTTTCTACAGCTAGCCTGTCAGAATTATTCATAATTTGAAGATATGAATCTTGTCAATTTTAGTTATATTTTTACATATATGGAAATTTAATATTTGCATTTATGACCAATTTAAAATAAAAATCACAGCCCCTATTGTTCTATAAAGTTTATATAAAACATTGCTAAATTGTTCTACAGACTATTGATGAATAAGTATTAGAAACAACATAGAAATTTGATCTTTATCTTTATGCAATCATAATTTTGGAAAATAACAAAAATGTGTTTAATGGTATGATACAAAATATTTTGTTTGTTTACATTTCCCTTCCAGAATGAAATGACTTTGATGTCTAAAAATATTATTTTATAATTATCTGAAATGTATTCATTGTTAATATAATTCTTAAATTAATGTTTAAGAGTCAAACTTGAGTTAGGAGATTTATAAATTATTCTGTAATTAACACCATATCTTCCAATATACATTTATTCTTATAATATATGGTGGAATATAAAATATGATCTTAGCAGTTCACAAAAACCAGGTGTTATCTTGTTCCACCTATCAGTTTCTACTTATAGACCTGAATACAAAGCTGAAGTCAATCATCAAGGCAGATATCACCTGTGTTGGCTGCAGCTGGTGGCAGATGTGACTACATTCACAACTTGTATCTTATTTTCAGCAGCTTTTTTTATTCACTTGTGTCATTACTAATAAAATATAGCAAATGTGTGATTTTATTACAATGTTTGGTATCTGATTTTCCATGTTGAATTTAACTTGGCATAATTTTATAATGTATAATGAAGCAAAAAGTTTAAAAAGATGAAGTAAAATTAATTATTCCATTTTTTTTTACTCTGCAGTGACTGCAATATTGATCAAAAAGTTCCAAATTACTTAACAGTTTAAACTTTTAACCTTTTCACATCTGTTTACTTTTAATTGATGATTATATTGTTGTACTTTGTACCCACTAGAGCAATAGTCCTAGCATCAAAAGCAAAGGAGCTCTACCTACCAACAAGAAATCACACCTAATTAAATTACAGTACCTTATGAAGACTCTATTGCACACAAATGCTACTACAGTCATATTAAAGATTCTTTGAAATTTGAAATCAATACAATTACTAGGTGTAATGTTAAGTTATACCAAAAAAACTTGATATTCATAATTTAGAGGCTCTATAGGTTATGTAAATGAAATATGAAAATTTATAAGATGAAAAGAAATATTTTTTATTTAGCATGAAAATCACCTTTTGCTCAGACTGACTCAGTAAAGACTAGAAATTTAAAGACAAGTTTTTAGTAGAACTACTTTATCAGAAAAATTGTTTTTTTTTTGTGTACAACAGACTTGTTTTATGTACTTGAAAGATAGCCATATTTTGTAAAGATTTAAATTTAGATCTAAAGTAAAAATTAATATGCATAGCATCATACATTCAGGGTTGACTGAGCCCTCGATCAGGTGATTAAGTTAATATGGAGAAAAATAACCTTGTATAAATTTTTTTCTTCTACATAACAAAATGAGACAATGTATATCACCTTCCAGCATCAAAAGGATAAATTTGAAGTTTTGAGTATAGTGGTTTTAAATGTTTCTGCGGGTCTCCTGTGCTGAGTGGACATACAAGATTTAAAATATTTGTGGACTTTTATATTATAAAAGCAGGTAATGAATAACCTACAGATTAGTACATAGTTCATTATTCACTAGATGAGTTGTATTTTTGTTTTTGTTATCCAACATGAAAATCATGCTATAAAAAAGTTGTTTTCTGCTGCTACTGAAGTAACTCAGATACAATGAAACAATACTGTAAATTGGAAAATTGTGAAATTATCATACAAGTCATTGAACCTTATCAAAGAAATCTAATTCAAATGACCAGATAAATTAAATTATATTAACAGATGTCAGGGGTGAAATTCTGCCAGTTCACACCGGTACTGAGTACTGGAACTTTTTTTTAAAGCAGTACTAGTACTGGAACTTATTTGAGCTGCTTTGTTGTTTTTTTATGTTTACCATAGATTTTTTTTTCTTTTTCAAAAACAGGTCTCCTTCACCTCACCTGACACATGCTAATATAAATTATCAGAAATTAAGTGGAACAAGGTAGTACAAATGACCAGAAATCATGAGTAATATTATTAATAGATACTAATATGATTTACCAGAAACTGTGAGTGGTATTAACATATACAAATACAATTTGCCATAAGTCTTGAATGATATTAACATATTCTAATAGTGTTCACTAGAAAATGAGTTATATTAACACACATTATTACAGATGACCAGAAGTAATCAGTTGTTTATAGCATGTGCTTTTGTAATAATTTCGATATATAATAATTTTGTTTGTTTGTTTAGTAAAATTTGTTTCAAAATAGATAAAGTAAATGGATAAGAGGGATTAAATTTTACGAACTTAGACTTTATCTATTCTAACCCATCTCATTTATTTTAAACTTAATGTAATTTTACTATTGTTTATTTTTTCTGTTTGTCTATTATATTTCGCTAGCTGGAGTACCCATTTGCTGGACGGGTGAAGTAAAAACTCATTTGTGACAAAGGACAGAAAATTGTGCTTCTATTTTTGTTCTGAACATGGTAAACATTAAAGTGCAATCAAAATACATAAAGGTACCAATACTGAAAAGAAAGACATAATGTTTTCAATAATTCTATATGAAATTAGATGGGGTTGGGGGTGAACCCCCAACCCAAAATGACCTTCCTCATGTCATCCTGTATAACTGTCAAGTTGTGCTGATATGGTAGTTTTTTTTTCAAAATTAGATTGGAGGGGGGGTCTAAGCCCCCTCTCCCTTATGAGCTTCCTCATGTCATCCTATATCATTCTCAAGTTTGTTGCTAATTGATCAAGAAATATGGAAATATATAAGGAACAAATGGCTGAAAGGTGCAAAAAAACAGACACAAACTTAGCTTTATATATATTAGATTGAATGGCTTGGAAATGCATTCTTTTGATGATAATACAATTTACTGTTTTGTAGATGCAGAAGCAGGACCTAAAGAAGATAGATACAGAATAACAGCCACACTTGGTCTAGTAGTACATGCAGCAGGTAAATAAACTAAAGATACTGGCATGTAAAAATACTTTTAAGTAAAATTCAAGAAAATGTCATAAAACATATAATATCATGTAGTAGATTTTACTTTTTAATTTCAGATATATTTTAGCTACATCAATTTTTTCATTTTTTGATCATTACTATAAAATGTTAGTAAACTGACATTTTAATTTGGCATTTATTAAAAATGACTTCAATGGTAAGTACCGAAGAAAAGGGATATTAGAATAAAAGTATCTTATTTGTTTATTACTAAAGCCTGGAGTAGGTAATTCACAACAATATACAAGTTTGATACACTTAAGTATTTTATTTGTCATTTAAAAGCTGGATTAAGTAAGTCCCAGTATTTTGACCAAAATTAAATTGGATTTCATTCTTTTATGGTATCCAGATAGATACAGCTAGGCCTAAAGTGGCAGCATTAGGCCTAGCAGTGCAAAACACACATTTTATATTTAGCTTTCCTGAATGATAGTTACTTCATCAAACAGACCTACTAAACAATCATTAAATGTACTGTATGTTATAGATCTTATTATTTATTGTAGTATTAACATTTAATGTATGACATGTAGTATTTGATGAATAACATAGCAAGAGTTAATAAAGGCAGGAATTTTGGCTTGGTAAATTTCCCATGTGTTATGGAAAGTGGTAAGGACAGGTACTATTTAAATTAAATTTAATTGGTCATTGTTATTATAAGAACCTTGAGGGGATTATTAGAGAAAAGGAGAGCCTGTGCCAAGGCTGGTATCAAACTTAGTGTATAACAGAAATAGAATTAATAGTTTTAGCATTGTCATCTTTACATTGAGTACTTTGTATTTAAAAAAAGAAAATTACACAATAACAAATAATAATAAAATTAAAAGTAAAATGTTTACTTCCAACTGTTTGCCTCTGTATAGTTTGTAATTAGAAACAGTGCCTTGATACTTGGATTGCACACTGACAAAAGTGCTGTGATGAGACTCCGTAATTGGAGGTAAGATGTCCAGTTCCAAACTCCTCTAGTGTAAGTCAAAGGAAGTTAACTATGATAACTATAACACTGATCTAAAACTTTGTGCTGGTATAATCAGGTTTTGATATAAATCTAAAAACATGATGTTGATTACTAGATACACAAAAAGAGTCATTTTCATTCATCATTTACTCCTTTCTTTCTGTTGTTGTGTTCAACAACTTGATTTTTTTTACTGAAATGGTCACTGGGGTTATGAATTTTACCCTATTCGCTTTATTATTTTTTTATAGCTGTCTGCTTGTCATGACATAAAATGATTATTCAGTTAGAGCTAGCAAGTTTCATATTGCAACAAAATTATGTAGTTTAGTTTATTTTTTTATTTCTGTGCATATACATTGGTCATATTTAGCTTTTAACAAGTAATCCCCAAAAGTTAGCAAAGAATTAAATAATTAGTACATATATGAAATTTAACTAATGTTTTAACTTCAATATTAAATCAGGCATAATGTATATTTCTAGTTCTCTTCATGTTCAAGTTGATGCCAAACTGACTTGACCATTGAAACATTTCTTTAGCCAGTCCAGTCAATCAGCTATAAAATAATTAGCTAATGTTAAGAAAAGCAAAACGAAAATTTCAGTGTTAGGTTGTTAAAAACAAGAAATTAATGAGAAAACAACATGAAATAAATGCAGAAGTGAAGAATTTATCTGGCTACAGTGATTGACCAAAAGAAATAATTTTCTCTGAAGCTTTCCCTCAGAACTGTTTACAAGTGTATACAACTTAAAATAGTTTTTCAGGAGTAAGTCTTAAAGAGTACACTGATGGAAATAATATATGAAAGTAGACCATAAAAATGCATGGAGGTTTACTGTTTCTAGTTTTTAAGAAGAGAAACAAAAAAAATGTAATTTAATTAATTGTAGTGCTGTGGACTTTGGTAGAGCATTGAATTAGTAGACTTGGAAATGTTTATTAATTGGGAAAAGTTATCAAAAACATTTTGAGGAATATACTAAATTTCTGGTATGTGTAAGCTTACCCTTTCAAGGTGCCAAGATAAGTCACTTAGAATTGACTTTGAAGTCATTTCAGTTTACTTGTACCTTTTCAAAATTTACAACTTCAGACTCTCTAGTAATTAAAACTGTTGCTTATTACAATTTTTGGATAACATTTTATCTGGCTTTTATTTAAAATGTTTTCTGGTAGATAGCAAGGTTATCAATGATTATGATTTTAAAATAGGAAATAAATTATTTGTTACTTATATCACATATAACAAAACTCCATGCATTATTTAAAAACAAAATACTAGTTGTTTTATTGAATTTGTGGAATATAGATACCGGTAGTTTTTTGTTAGTTATCTCTTCTCTGAAATTATTGAAGTCTGAACCTCCTTAATCAAATGAACTAAGCAGTGTTTATAAGTTAAAGCAACTTAAAATAGTTTTCCATTTTTGCATTTTTGTTGTACTTAACATAGGGAAGGAGGAAATAGAACTTCACAATCTTATTTGAATATGTGGAAAACTTGCCTCTAAAGCAATAAAAAAGCCTAGTCCTTAACTAAGTGGTTATTCCTGAATTAAGGAAGTTTGTATCTGGTGTGAAAAAACTTTTAAAGGTATAAATATATTCATATCTTGTATCCCTTTCATATTTTTAAGGTTAAATGCTAATTATTTATAAAGAGTCAGTACAGTATCAAAAACTTTTCATACTTAGCCATGATCTTCATTGATGTGTTTCATACTGTGTAGCTATTAAATTTTAATGATTGTCAGATGCCTTATGGCCACCACTGTCTCCAGCCCTGTAAGTTTATTATTAATTTAAAATGGTTAAGGATGATATTTACACCCTATCACAGATAATGTTTTTTGTACGAGTTGCTCTAACAAAAATGTTTTTTTTGTTCATTTAGCTGATGGGATAGCTCTTGGAGCAGCAGTTACTACCTCACATACAGATATAGAAATGATTGTTTTCTTAGCAATTATGCTGCACAAGGTCAGATAACAGTTCTCATTTTTGTGCACTTGTAATATACTGTGGTTCTAAAAACCCTAATGTATAAGTTTTTGCATATTGTATTAGTTTAAAGGTTAAGTTATTTTGTCTGTTTTCCAAATGAGATTATTAAAAGAACATAGCTTTCATGTTTGCATTATTAGTAATTCGAATTAACAATATTTGATAAAAGATCCAACTCTTATTCTAAAACTGATGGCTGTTTTTGTGCATAAAAGCCAACAGGCACACAAACAAAACTGATTACACTATGTTCTTTATTGATGTTTCTGTATTAGAACAGCCATGTATCATTGCCAGTTGTTTGCTTTGTTGTTACTTTTAGGTTACGTCAGTTCTACCAGGTGCTAGAGTAGGTATATTTATAGATGACAGGCTACAAGAAGCTGTAATTCAGAATAAACCAGAATGTTTTCAAGTCAGATATTAGACTTTGTTATTGTAATATCAAAAAAAAAGTGTAAATAGTTTTAAATATTACTACTGATTTCTTGTTTTAACTAATATTTTTCTCTGCAGGCAGCCTTATTAAAAAAAAGGAATTTGTCATGAAAGAATTGGTTTATTTGTGATGTTGCAAATTTTCAATATTTTCATACATACTTCTCGTAATTTGAATTAATTTTACATGTATATTTTGATTATGCTAAAATAAAACTGGGATGTAAAGCAGTGGTATTACATTTGTACTAGACTTTTGTGTTTGATGCTTGTTGAAAAGTACTGAAACCTTTCTAACAAAATTATTTTGTGTAGATTTATAGTCATTTCTTGCTTTATTTTCATACTGTTTGAAAGAACACAATTGTTGAAACCAATTATGAAGATTATAATGTTGAATCTTTTCTGTGTATGCTGTAACAGAGTTGTATTACTTTGCAGGCACCAGCAGCATTTGGTCTTGTGACCTTTCTCTTGCATGAAGGCTTGGATAGGAACAGAATAAGAAAACACCTTCTTATATTTGCTCTAGCTGCTCCACTGTTAGCTGTAATTACATACTTTAGTATAAGTCAAGTAAGTGAACAGAACTAAGAAATTAGAAAGTTTTACTTAGACTTGTGGTACTTGCATTAAAGGTGATATTGTAGCCTTGTAGAATATTGTATAGTTTCAAATTGTTGCTTATTAAAAAAGTATTGGTTTAAATGAGCTTGTAAGTGACTGGAACCTACGGGAGCTTTGCCAAGGTTAAACAGTGTTTTACCCAATCTCCTGACCATTTAGGTATCCATTTTAAGTTTTGTAGGTTTAATCCTTTTCTACTTTAATGTGTGGATAGGGTGATCATATAACACAATTGTAACAGTTTATTCTTTACATCTTTCAAAATGTACATCTACTATTGGCATAGCTGCAGAAAAGTAATACAATATTTTTTAAGAGCTACAAAAAGGTTTAGCAGCAATGTGCTGTATATCTTGCTAAAAATGTTTGATTGGTAGCAGTATTGTAATGTGTATATATGAAGCTACACCATTTGTTTGGCTTAGAGTTACTGAATTTGAATGGTTACAGTGGAAAAACATTAGTGATAAAGTTTATTCTGTTCCAACCTTCTTTCAGTTTTGTAGCAGTTTAATGAAAGAATGAAAGCAAAGATTAGATGAACTTTGCTGTTTGTGAAAATATATGGTTTACAAATCTGAAATAGAATTGATCATTTAATGGTCTATTTGTGTAACTATTACCTGAACAGAGTGCCCCTGAAGAAGAAAGGTCCACCTTTCGAAAGCACTCAGGTTATAGGGTTTTATCATCTTGAACAATTATAATTAATTTTCTGTAAATATATCTGTAAAGCATCTATATTGCTTTGATGTGTAATGTTTTACTAAAAAGATGTGTAATCCAACATGTATATAATTAATGAAACTGCTTAATTATTTTGACATGTAACTTTTATTAATTTCAGTTTTTTAAGAAGCTTTGTTAACATGCAGTATAAGTGAAACTTGTGTTATCCTGATGTTAATTTCTATTATTTTCTGTCAACTTAAAAATCCTTGTCAAGATATATGTGTACCATTAAAACTAAAGTGTTATGCTGTATAATATTTCTGTTTTCTTTTCACAACATACACGTACCACTCCATTGAAACTATAATATTTTTATATTTGCCAGTCTACAAAAGAAGTTTTGTCAACGTTCAATGGCACTGGGACTGCCATGTTGTTCAGTGCAGGAACATTTCTCTATGTTGCAACAGTCCATGTGTTGCCAGAGGTGGTCAGCCAGTCCCACAGCCATGCTGTAGGTTCAGACTCTGTGCATTCCGAACATAAAGGATTCCGCAAAATGGAGCTCTTTGCACTAGTTGGGGGTGCAATTTTTCCTATGTTGTTGTCTGTTGGGCATCATCACTAAGCACGTGAAAGAAAGGGAATGGTGTAAATTTGATGATAATTCCTTCAGCTTTGTACATATGCATTTAATGTGTGTATACTTATACATATCAGTTAAATAAATGGCTGGTTTAGAATAACTGGTTATAAGTGTACTGAATAATTGTTAAAATGACAAATGCACAAAGTTTATTTAAATGACACGTGTATTAGTTTAAGTCTATTTATTTTTAATTTTAAAAGAAATTTTGCCATGTTTTTTGTTTTGTTAATTACAAGTGTTTTGCTTACCCACATCTGTTTTCATTGTATGAGATAAAGGTAAGATTTCTATTTGTTAAGTATTGGAATTTCAAATAGCTTGAAATTGAGTTAAGTGATACTTTGGATTTAGCAGTTAAGTAAAAGCCGATATATAGTCAGTTTATGATATTTGCCAGCAAGATTGATACACACAGTTTTCTTTTATACAAATATTTTTTAATATACAAACAATAATACAATTTACAATAACAGTTATTAGAAATAGTTATTACAAACAAGGATTTGTATACAAAAGTTTCACAAACTTACAAGCAATATAAAGTCTTCTTTTTAGTCTGGAACTTCCTTTATATCTTATCGAGGGTTGACGATGACCAAGTTAATTATGATTTGATGTAGGTACGATTCACTTAACGGGGAGCTAGCTAGCTTTGTCCTTCATTATTCACCAGCCACACACGCCAAATTTTCCATGATGAAGTTATATAATGTTTTCGTAAAAATACTAATGTCCGATGAGAATCCACTGAAGTTAAATTATTTGTAACGTTTGAACTTTGTAAATGCTCCTGATCAAATATCTGAAGTTTTCTGATTAATAAGCATTATAACAATCACAGTTATAGCTTCAAAAGTTTATAGCACACTGACTATAGCAAATTAATAATAGATACTACTTTTTTGGCATGTCGCGTTGGTTATATTTATAGGTGTGTGTGGAGAGTTTCTAGAAAATTCAGATTACGTAAGAGAATAGGTGGGAGATTTGCAATACATATTTAACTGTATAAGTTATGCACACTTGTAAATATAAATTTAATTCAAGCAAACATCGATGGCCTGGCATGGCCAGGTGGTTAAGGCACTCGACTCGCAATCTGAGGGTCGCGGGTTCGAATTCCCTTCACACCAAACATGCTCGCCCTTTCAGCCATGGGGGCGTTATAATGTGACGGTCAGTCCCACTATTCGTTGGTAAAAGAGTAGCCCAA